AGTCCAGTATAGGCTGTTGAAAAAAGATTATGTTGCATAAACATTACTAGCCGATTGATGTCATTCAACCCGCTACAATAATATAAATCGATGGCAATCGAAGATGATAAAACAAGTTACTTACGACGAATTGTATGATTTATGTTAAAATTGTTTTTGGGAATTACCATCAACATATTTATAGTAACGTGAAATACGCGTTATCACGTGTTTTAGAAAACGTAGTTGTTTTGTCGACGACGTGACGACTGAATCACGTACAATTTGAAAGTTCGAATGGATTTAATACTGTGGGAAATCATCTATAGTTTTTCGAATGATTTAAAAATGGCTATAGTTATAGTAAATATTATTACAAAAAAACAAGTTAACTGAAAATTTAATACATTCCAAAAATAAGTGTCATTTACAATTATCATTTAATTACTTGTTCATTATCAAATTGTCATAATCATGTAGTAATGAAGACACTGCTTAAATGATTAGAAAATTTTTTTTCTACATTTTAAATCAACAGGGAAAGTTCAACGTCTACGTCATAAGATGATATACTCAAACTCATTGTAACTAAATGAACGTGTGGACTGCTAGTGTTACTTCTGCTCTTGAAAAGGTGACATCTTACAGGTATTTCTACAGATTTTTTCAACTCACGACAGTACTCAAAATAAATTTTTTTTTGATACATTTAGTTTGGTTTAGTGAAAAGTGAAAACCGTAATACCGAATATTTACAATTTCAATACGAATTCATCGTTTCCTTGAAAATAATCATGTACGAATTAGTTTGCACCACACTTCTGATAGTTGGAATAATATCTGGCAATGTATTGACTATTACCGCTGGAAGATCTAGTTATAAACATTTCAGTGTCACTTGCAATCAACTGATACTCAGCCTCGCCGTTTCAGATTTGTGCGTAGGTTTTGCTATGCTCTATTATCTAGTCTTTATTTTTGCTCCATCCATTGGTGGCTACAAGTATTTGTGTTTACTCAGGCAAGTAACGCCGTTATGCTCTCGGTGTATATAATTATACGTACTATTTTTATTAAAACAAAAATAGGTTTTATTTTTCAATATTTTTTGATTCATTAATTAATATTTCTATTGTCCTTTTAACAGGTTTGTGTTTCTTTGTGGTGCCTCTATGGCAAGTTTTTTCAACATATTGGCAATAGCTACAAATCGATATGTCGCGATAGCTTACCCACTAAAGTACTCGAAATACATAACAAAGAAAATATCAAATGCTGTTATAATTTTTAATTGGTGTACAGCTTTGATTATATCCACTACACCGTTTTACTGGAACAATTATCATTCAACGCTAAGATGTGCTTTCATAAACTTCATTCCAAGGTATGAGCCAAAGAAAAACTTTTGTTGTTTTAATACTACATTTAATTAACTTGACATCATAACAATGTTTGATTGTGCAGTTACTACCTGGATACGATTCTGATACCGATATTTTTCATTGTCTGGCTCAGTATTTTCATTCTTTATTGGAGAATTTGGAGAGCGTCGAGGGCACGTGACTACAAATGCAATCAGGTATATCCACAGCATATGACATGTATAAATTTTAATGAATACACCCAGTAACATTTCACCGTAAAACTACCATATTTTTGGGACATTATACTAAGACTATATTGTTTACCGTAAACTGTAGCTCTTTTCTCCATATAAGTTCCCAAGGTCTCCTAGATGTTGGGTTTTTCATCTACATTTATATTTTTATCCTTAATAGGTAGTCCTTTTAATCCTCGGCAGTTTTACGCTGTGCTGGATGCCTTTCGTCATCACGACAGCGATACAATGTTTGGACCTTCCGTACCACCCAAGCCAGATCTTGCGACGAATGGTGTTCTTCATAGCAATGTTGAACAGTGGCATAAACCCAATGATCTACGCTTGGAATAACCCAAACTTTCGTCAAGCCTTTCACAATTTAATGAAACGTAAGCCTCTGGTCCAACACAATTACGATTCGAACTTTCAGACTTGGAGAGAACAGCCCGATAAAATCAATACGGTCTCGGCTAAAGTTAATCAAGATGATGAAAAACACAGTTCAGTTTGAGGGTTATTTTTGTAGATTAGTACTATGGTTTTTTGTTTATTTAGCATATGAAATGTGTAACTTTGTTATTCATAATTTTTTATTACTAGTAAAATGGCAAACCCAAGCTTTTACTTTGTGCCCACCATTATTTAAAACACAAGATTTTGACAAGTATCTCTAGTACACACTATAATAAATAATTGATGGTAATCACCTCAAACACAGTGAAGTTTCGTACAAAGTATTTTTCCTCGTAACACCATCCAGAGCCAGAGAGTATGGCGCGTTATCTTCTTTCGACTTGTGCTTAATCACTCTGTACATATTCCAGTAGCCATTCCCACCCTCCGTTAACTCCTTTCTAAGTCCACCCATCGCTTGACTCTAATATTCGGTATCTGGTGGCAATCTAGGAACGCTCGGGAGCTGCAGTTGCAAAAATCCTCCCTCTGAGTCTCCCCGGCGCGCACCGGTCCATTAAAATAATAAAGCGTCAACTTTCCGAGCGGCCCCTCTTTCCTCCCGAAAATGTAATTGCTCGACTAATGAGAGCCCTACTTTTAAATCACGGCCTCGCTGTGACTAAAGTACATACTCCAGCTTTTTAACGCTCGACTCAACTCAGGCAAACAAAAAAAAACATTCTCTTTTCAAAATGCAGCGATACTTTTTTTCTGACTTTTTTGCCCACTGAAATGTGGGAGGAACACTTGTATTGCGTGGCATTAAAATTTTCACGAAACGGTTAAACGCGAGGGTAAGTACATCAGATCCGTAGAAGTTTATATTTCCCCTCGTTTTCATTCCGACGCTTCCAATTACCCCATTGTCTTTGAATACACACTTTGATTACTCCGGATAAATTAATCAATCAGTCAACCGAGAAAATAAGCCGCGGTCTCAATCACCAAATGACCTTAACTCACCACTAACGCGATCTTACAGCGGCTTCCGTATACATTTGTTGTCACATCTTCCTTGACTAAATAACAGTCCCATAACGGTACACCTGCACAAAGTTGTACTTGTAGAGCATCCTCCGTGTGCGTCTAACTATTTTACAACATTTACAGAGTGGGCGCAGATTATTGGGTCCAAAAGCCATCGGAGGCAATTGAAAACTGTAGCAAGACTGTGAGAGAGAGAGAGAGGGACGTGGCATTAAAAGACTCGCCAGAAGGGCTTGGTTCTTCTTTTGCTCTCTCCCCTGCCTTTTTTTTTCTTTTTTTTAATCTCGCGATTCTCCTTTCAGCCAAGCGTATACGCACCGCTTTACCATTATGTACCCAGTGCGTGCGTGTACCCATTGACTCTCGCTCTCCCTTGCCTTGCTTTCCTTTCCCACCCCCTGTACGTATGCGTATTCACGCTCGTGCTCGCACTGCGTAAGCGAGGAATTGGATGTGCATTGCCTCGTTCAAATTAAGTCGTACTACGGTAGCTGTTGTTGTATGGAGCAGAGAGGCTGTGTGTTTGCTCCAAAAAAGATGCGGGCTCCGATTACTTATATGGACCGACAGATGAGACTCCCTCTTTCTCTCTTCGTTGATTATTTTTTGGTGCTTTCTTTGTGCTTTTCGCGCCTGTGTACGATTTTTTTTTCTTTTTTTTTTCATTCATGGCTGCTTGAGTGTGTCCTGAACACAAGATTGCGACTTGGAGCCAAAAACGCGTGCGAGAGATTGTTGATTGATCGCGGTCGCGTCGGTGGTCTTGTATGAAACCTCTGTTTTGCTTTATTGTTCCTTTTCTTTTTTTTATTCGAAATCGATAGAGTTCTGTGATCCACATCTTTTCTATATCATTTTTTTTGGTCAATTTTTTTTTTTATTTTCAAAAAATACAAAATTTACATTTACAATTTCGTTTTATGATTTGTATGTTTCTTTGTGGTGCCTCTATGGCAAGTTTTTTCAACATATTGGCAATAGCTACAAATCGATATGTCGCGATAGCTTACCCACTAAAGTACTCGAAATACATAACAAAGAAAATATCAAATGCTGTTATAATTTTTAATTGGTGTACAGCTTTGATTATATCCACTACACCGTTTTACTGGAACAATTATCATTCAACGCTAAGATGTGCTTTCATAAACTTCATTCCAAGGTATGAGCCAAAGAAAAACTTTTGTTGTTTTAATACTACATTTAATTAACTTGACATCATAACAATGTTTGATTGTGCAGTTACTACCTGGATACGATTCTGATACCGATATTTTTCATTGTCTGGCTCAGTATTTTCATTCTTTATTGGAGAATTTGGAGAGCGTCGAGGGCACGTGACTACAAATGCAATCAGGTACATCCACAGCATATGACATGTATAAATTTTAATGAATACACCCAGTAACNCATCTATATTAAATCCTGTGAACCAATATTATCTAAAAATCAATTGAATAAATAGAAAAAAATTATTATTTCATCCATGACACGTGGCTTCATTAGCTCGAACTCAATTTTCAATTAAGAATCTCTTCCCATACTCGCTTACACAACACTAAGTAAAATTAATAAAAAAATCATCCACACAAATAAATTATTGTACAAGTAAATAATCTGGAATCAGCACACCTTACAACTAATACTAGTTAATGATTATTGCGTCCTTTTAGTCTCGTAGCTGCTTATTTCTACAATTGGACATGTTTAGCGCACTTAATGTAAAATCGAGTTGCGATAACCGAAAGATCAATCGCGAAACTAAAAACTAGTCGAGAACAAAAACAGTTCAAATTCTTTATACACCAAGTCATATTCGCACCATCCATCAGTTAGATTTACCCAAATGCTGGCACTGATCATATATTGATAACACCGGTTTAAGTTTCTCGCACTCCTCTCACGTATTATTTTAAAATTCACACACGCACAGGCCCGCCGGTCTCGATTAAGACTCCCATACACACGATGTGTCCATTCAGTTGCCCGAAGGCCAGTTATAGTAGTTGTTGGACGGCTGCGTACCAGATGCCGGATGCTGCGATGAAGGATGAGTGTAACTGGCTAGCTCCATGGGGTACGGATAGCCAAAGGAATCAACATAGTCGAAAAGCGGAGAGATCGGTCGTGGTGGCGGTAAGATCGGCAAGTAATCAAAACCGATGTAGGATGGGGCCAACTGGGTCGACGGCAACTTCTCGAGTGATCCCGTGCCTGCCACAGAGGTCCGGGTGTATGTCGCGCCCTCCATTCTCCACTGCTCTGGGTCGTTAGTTTCTGTGTCACTGCTACTGCTTTCGCTACTGTCGCTGCTATCACTGCTGTCACTACTGCTCGTACTGGTGTCTCGATCGTTGCAGTACTGATCCTCGAACTCGCGCACCTTGTCATTAAACTCTTTGTAACGTCGGGACACCGCGTTCAACACCTTGACCCAGTACTTGTTGGACTTGCTCGTCAAGTCTACCTCTACCGAGTCATCGGGGAGGCCAGCGATTTTGAGTTCGAAGATGCTCTGGAGGCACTGGGCTCTCTTAACGATCTCCGTCGCGTCCGCGTGGCACCTGTAGCAGTTGGTGAACATGCGTCTCATGTCGCGGATATAATCCGCGGAAGACTCGTAGGAGCCACGCTCGAAATTCGATTTTATACTCAGGAGATTCACGGGGTTGGTCACAGATGGGTGGTTGGAGGGGAGTTTCCGATTGAGCATCCTTAGGGGCCCATAGAAGGGCCAGGCGTACCTCACGTTCTCCTTTGACAGGAGCTCCTCGAGGATCTCGCTGCACATTGTCATGGCTGAGGAGAGCACGTACTTGCCGTGCAGCTCGACTGAGGGGAAGTGGGGGTGTTTGAGGCAGAAATTGCGTCGCCATCTCTGGAGCCGATCCCTCTCAAGGTCGAGTTGCGTCTTTTTTCTGCAAGCACTTTTCTTCTTGACTCCGGAGGATGGCGATAACGATAATGACTGATGGTACTTTGTCGATGCTCGACGTGACACTCGAGCGACTTCGATACGTGGTAGATTGGGTATCGTTGATTGAATGGCCATCGACACTTCGTTGGGCTCTTGATGAGGTGCTGCACGTGGAGGCAACATACTTTGTTTCTGTAATCAAAATATTTCATACGTGTCAGTAAGAGTTGCATTTTGTTGTACTTTAATCAAAAGTATCAGTGTGTCGTGAGGTTTCATAATTTGAGAGCCACTAATGTAAAGTTTTAGATGGTGTACGTGACTAATTTCATGATAAAAAACACATGTGCAGGGGTACTTCAACAGCAGAATTTTTGTTAATAATTTGATTATAAAACAAACTGGAGCATAATAAGATACACCGTGTGATTACAAAATTATTATTATTTTTCAATTCCGTAGGGTATGAAGAATTTTTTGTGATCAAACACAAATTTGCCTGTCTGTCACATCATTGACTTGTACTACTTAAAATTAATATTTGTATTAAAAAATGATTATAAATTATTTTTTATATTGGATAAGTACGTGATTATTTTTGATATTGGCTTATCGTATGGTACACTTTATTCATATTTAAATAGAAATCAGTATATTTTATTTTATACCTCACATAACTAATAAATAAAAAATGTTTAAATACACATCGTACGAAAAAGTATTCATATTCATTGACAATGAAGTAGTATGACAAACATGACATTTTCTCTCATGGAATAGAACAAATAAATAAGTTGTAGCTGACATGTTGGAGTGAAAATTCGTAAAATATATAATAAACATGTAAGATCATTATGTACGTGATTTCTCAAAATATAAAAAATCAATACCTGCTATACGAAACAAAAGCAAAGTATTATATCTGATTCAAAAAATTAACACTACTTTTACACTACTTGATTCTAATAATCACATAGTATAAGAGTTGCTGCTTCAGTCAGTACCATATAATAGTACACCAATGTGTCGTGATGTATGATCTTTATCCCCTTTCCCCCTCTCCGTCGCCGCACAACATTCCATGATAAAGAGAGCTACTGTTAATAGTTTTCGTACCTGGTGGTGCATGTCTCCAGGGCAAGCACCAGCAGGTCCGAGGGAAGTTTTAACGTTTCTACTTAAGCACTAACGTTCCAACATTATTTCTTTTTAATCTTTTCAATTCGAAACATTATTTTTATAATAACGCAAAAATTTCCACGGCTGACGAACCGTTGAGTTGTACTACTTAAATTTAATTTGTACTCAAATTGAACAGTATTAAATTATTGTTAGCTAGGATAAGCAGGTGATTTTTATTTCAAGTTTTGAGGCTATTACCTGCTTTCTAAGCTCAATTCGAGTATAGATGAAGATCTTGTGGACTTGAAAACTAATAGTAGTTTTTATCACCGCAAAGGAAACCATGTAAAAACTGTAGGCTGAAAATGATATTAATTGCCAATATTAAAGATAAAAGAGATTTTTTCTATTTCATTTCCTGACTCTATTCGACAAAAAAAAACTCATTTGAAATTAGATTGATGCTTTTATTTGAACGGCTGCGTTTTTCGGGAACATACAATGAAAGCGAGTGAAATTAATCAAATCAGTGGTCACTATTATTGGGTTTAAAAAATGTTAATGACTATTCTTTTATAAATTTGGTTTCTTCTGGCTTTTTCAATAAAAATTTTTGTTCATTTAATTAACAATATTGAAATGTACAATTCAACTAAGTACGGAATTAGGGCTACAGTGTAAGAATTAACAAATAAAGCAGTTACTTTAGAAATCATTGGTTCAAAAAGCAAGTCACGACCATTATCCTTCATTGTATTGGAAAAAAAAAAAAAAAAAAAATTGGCAAAAATCACTCCTCAAAACGTACCGAAAATAATTTTTAAAAAAATCCATCTTCCCACGTGTCAAAGCCCAGATACGTCAACCTCTCGAAAAAGCATACCATCGCGTAGTTTAGCTTCGAAAAAATTTGCAACGCCCCTATGTTCATCGTAAAAAAGAGAAATACCACATGCCAAAAAGTCCCGTAGCTCCTGTTCAAAAGTAACCCTTTCAATAAAAAAAAAAAAAAAAAAAAAAAAAAGAAAAACTGATAAACGACTCGGTGGGCAGCCGAAATGTTCGAACGCACTGCTGATCCATAGATAGATCAACGCGACGCGTCGAAGCGCGTCTCGTCGTCTCGCACCCGAAAAAAACGAAAATAAAAGTAAAAAAAAAAAATAATAATATTACCCAGGCTTGTCCATCTATTCATCCCCGCTCACAGTCGCACAGGCACCCCCCGGTCGCTCGGTGAAAAAGGGCTTTTGATATGCCTTTGAGCGCCGACTGCGCGTCCCCATCCCACTACACCTACATGCGAAAGATTAATTAACGTAGCACCGGCGAAACGCTCCGGGGAGAGGATCAGCGCGCCTCGAGTCTACTGCAGGTACATACGGCGGATGTAAGCACGGACAGGTGTCGGAGCAAGGGTGCCAGGACACGTGCGAGATCGGAGATTTGGGAGTGGCTGATGACGCAGGAGTGATGGTAATTGCGCTGATTGATCACGCGTTGTTTGCACTCGTGATGATTATTGCGTGACAAAATTCATTTGAGTGAAGGGGAAAAGACCTGTGTGTGTGTGTGTGCATATATTATCGCGGGAATAGTGATGTTGATTGGAAAGGACGCCCTGATATTCACGTGAAAGACTTTTCGAGCTTTAAATCTCTCCAACTTTGGACAGAGAGCGATAAAACGTTCCATTATGCTCGAAAGTTGACAAATCGATCATCAAAGTTCACCAAAGTTTGAATTTTGGATGAATTTTTCTTTTATCGCCGTATACTCGTTATTCGAAGGACTCGCCAGTAAAAAAAAAAAAAAAAAAAAACTAATAGTCGCTTAACACAGGAGCCTCCATGATTGCTTTTAAATGAATCTCGAGTGGTTTACGACCCCCCCCCCCCTTCGGCCCTTAATCCATGCCAAAGCAAAAATTACGTCGGCAATGAAAGAGCCTCATCTGGGCGGCCCATTGTGGTCTTTTATGCGCGCACGAGCACCGAGAGAGCGGAGTCAAACCATCTGGGAATCATCGGACGGCAATCGGCAAGCCCGACATGTGCAAAATCGAGCGAAGACGCGCCTCCAACGCTGGAGTGTATATCTTTTGTTGGGCTCTTGGCCTTTGATTTTTTTTTTTTTTTTTCCATTATAATAGCAAAGGTCGCTTCCCTCAATCCCACGTGCCTCTTTTCGAGGCTCTTTATACATCGAGGCTTTAATCTTGCCTGATCCGCCCCTTTGCAGACCCGATTTTTATCATCCGTTGTAGGGGCGATTTCGCGAACTATTTTTGATTAACCGGAATTGCAATTGCGGTGTTCAATTTTTCGTTTCACTTGTTTACGCTTCGTCGAAATTTTAACCAAAAGTGTGCTTCATCTCTACTTTTCCGAAGAAACGGATAGTACAAAGTATACTCTACAATTGGATTGATTTTCTGAGCTTCAACCACATGCGGGTGATCGCCAACCCTCGTAGAGCTTGAAAAAAAAAAAAAAAAACACAAAAAACAAAAAACAAAGAGTACGTAAATGAGAAACAAAAAAAAAGAAAAAAGGTTAAAAAAAGAGCGTCAGACAGGGTTGGCGTGCGCGAGAAAAATCGATGCTTAGCGTACGAATGGGCAAAAGGAGCCAAAGAGCAGCGTATTATGCATTTTGTATATACTGACGTGCACACATCCAAGGGGTACTTATACGCGTGTAGCATCGCCTTTTCACTCGGACATTACAAGCCAGAGCAGTGGGTGAGGACGTTATCCGGGGCGGATGGGCAGGGGGGGGGGTAGAGCTTAATAGAGTCGTCGAGCCAACGTGGGTCGATCTGTGGCACTCCGACCCGCAGGAGCACAGGGGATAATCGACTGAAATAACCCCCGGGGACTGTACATGTATGGGCTGCGCGTGGAAAGAGGAGGGAGATAAAAGGGACACGGGAAGGAGACGGCGCTACAGTGGTTAATGAGAAGTGGTGCCACCGCGAATGGGAAAAGTTTTTCGCCCTCCACCCCCTTTCTGCGCCGTGGTCTTTTACTTCTCGTTTTTGACTCTCTCTCTCTCTCTCTCTTTTCTCCCCTTTTTTTTTCTTTCCTTTCGCTAGAGGTGCCATACACAAAAATGATAATTATTACCGATGAAAACAGATGATTTACCGTTTTTTTTTCAACTTGCCATTGTATTTTTTATTTAATTGTTTTTTTTTGTTTTCCTATATACACAATTGCTAGTAAAATGTTTGGAAAACATTCCAATAACCCTAGTCTTGAAAAAAGCAGTCACTGCCCTACAACTTCTAATCACGGTTCTGACTTGACAGCAAAATTATACCAAGAATTCGACCTAAGGGGGGAAATAGAGGCGACACTGTCCTACACCAAACAATTTGCCACGACACCATCTACAAACTCGAATGAAAGTCGTGCATGCATCTTTCAGCAGCTCTCCCGAAAAGTAACTCGAGCGCAAAAAACCGCGGAAAAAGTTGGGATCAATTTTCCAGGGAGGGTAGAGAGGGTGGGCGCTCAAAAACTACACGAGACAATTTGCAGCGAGATATCGCACGGGGGGGGGGCGCGATAAACTCCTTCTCGCTCCGAGGGCACGTTAAACGAGCGAGACGGGGTGCACAGGGTGGGGAGGGGGGGGTGCAAGGGACGGACGGATGGATGGAGCCTCGCGGCTCTCGGGCTCCACTTTAATATCCTGATTAAAGCAACCCGGGCTCGCTCGGTTGCGCGCACCGGCGAGAGGAAAAGAGAGAAGACAGAAAAGGGCCCGGGATGCGCGGGGAGGGGCGCAGCGAGAGCGTGTGCGATGAAATCTAAAGAGATCGTTTTTCTCTAATTAAAAAGGCCTTTGAAAAAACTCTTTCTGCCGGCAGCTCCGACAGAGAGATAGGGGCGGTGGTGGAGTTTGCGTGTGTTTAGGTGCCACAACACTTTTTTCACGAACCTCTGTTCACTGGGAGGGCCATCCCCCTTCCACGAAGGGGGTATATTTTTTACAGTCCTTGTTTGTTCTTGTTCACGAAGGGATTGGTTGTTGTTTTTTTTTCAGTGTTGTGCTTTTGGTTAGTGCTTGTGTTCGTACCGAGTTATGCGTCTAGCGATGCAGGGAACAATCGATTACATGTTGATGTACCGATGTGAAAAAATCTCGACGACTCACGTAAAACGAACGTAAAAAGAGTGTAGCGAATACTTACATTATAGGTAAAGAAACTGCGATCCATGAGTGGGACTCTTTTTTCTCCTTCTGGATGCCTACAAGTAAAAAACACGGGATAGCCGAAGCTCAAAAATGAATATCGGTTGATGGAAAGCCACGTAACTTGGTCACAGGAGTCGAATTTTCGTTTGAATATAAGTGCCTTATTCACTTATTGAACGATTTGTACGAGTGAAAATCTCGAACTGAAGTAGCCTCATTAACATTACACGCCTCTATCGAGTAGTCACTACTTCTCCCCTCCCTTCTTTCCCATTATCGCTTGCAGTAGTTACAATGTAGTGGGAGCTCTTGTCTTTGTCACGTTAGGGAAAGCTCATAATCATACATGACATTTACAAATGTTAAAATTAGTGTTTACCAAGAACCTATTTTGTTGGATATGCCTTCTTGCGAGATATCGGTATAGTATCTATAAATATAGGCAAGCAAGGCCATTAAGCCTAATTCTTTTCACAAAGCGAATGATGACATCAAATTCTATTGTTCTATAAGGAAAAGAAAAAAAAAGAAAAAAAAGAAGAAAAAAAAAAATCACTCTCCAGTGATTGAAAAAGCTTTAGAAAGCACACGCGGCTAATCAAGCGTTGTGCGGTGAAAGAGCGGAGGTGTGCAAACCCACACACCTTATCGCGATTCCGCCCTCGCACAATGCCCGGAGGCTACTCTTTAAAGGAGTAGCCGTGATGCTTTGTCTCGAGCATCTTTTATTTTTTGTTGGCATTGGAGAAAGAGGGCGAGAGGAAAGAAGAAGAAGAAAAAGGGGAAAAAACACACGCACAC